TCGTTTGTTAAAGTTAAAGTAGTTGTGCGTGACAGAGAGAACAGGGAAAATGGCATCGCTGAGCCAAGATAATGCTGTCAGCCAGCTAGTACGGTTGTGAAAATAGCTTAGAAGACAAGAAATGCAACAGGAGACACAACAAACGAGACGTTAGCAACGGTAGCCTAACAGGCGACTATACAAGTGCACGAAGCCCAGAAGTCAATGCCCGATGTAATCGTGCTACAGGGGAATAACAATAATAATTTTATTATCTGACGAGATAAATCTTTGCGAAAATTTCCCACATTTGAACCCAATTAGATATACTGTATTGGCCTTCCATGTTATATTAGAATCCGCCTAAGAATGCGTCAAAATGACAGTGCGCTAAACAAGTGAAGCTCACATGTAATTCAGAGAAGTATCCCTCCGCCGCGACAGCTGTTCAGCCACGCCCCTTCCTAAAGTGTTTATGTTTGCGCATGGCTCCCGTTAAGACATCATGGCTTCTCATGGTTCACGTAAACAAATAAATGTACATGTAAACAAATAAATAAACAAATAAATTGATAAAATGCAAACCGCGGAACGTTCCCGATCACAGCTCGCCACTCTACCGCACAGGAGTAGGAAACACATGCGCCCGTACGTGTCTGTCATTCAAGACTCGGTTTTCAAATAACCATAGTACTTATCACACAAAAAGTAAATTCAATGTAATGTTTATATAAAAAAAAGATGTTTTACAGAAGAGCACAGTAGCACCGCACTTCGTAATTTCAATTATTTCTCGTGGCGAACTATATTTTCGTTAGACGAGGACATCACAAAAGGGAACGTCGAAGCCATTTACACGTTAGCCAACTGCAAACGAACAAATGAAAGAGGGAGATTCAAATGGACTGAAGGTCACAAAATTAGAAAACCAGGATCGCAGAAGCATTTTCACATATATTTATGTACTTCTGGTAAGGTACTTTACGTTACTATCGAACTTCTCATTAATTTTTGCTGCTCTAACAGCTAAATACGAGTAGCACACTCTTTCAAGTGTTATAATATTGAAATGTCTGTTCTTGGCGGAGGTGATATGCAGCAGTGGACTGTAATTGGGCAGGTGTGACCTTTTTGAATGTCATTCCCCGTCATCCTTCCATAATTCTAAATTCTTACCTGAACGAAGGACCACCACAATTAGAAGCTAGTGGAACTTGTATGTAGCTAAAAGCTCATTAATTGGGAGTTTGTCACCATCACTCAGAAATGAATGAAGGCATTAAAATTAATACATTTAATTGATTAGATAATTAGTAAACCTTATATGCTGTATGAAAGCATAATTCGTTAAATTAAAAAAGAAGAAATTATGTGATTGAATGTGAGCATAATATGCCGGAATTAATCATTATGAAATTGAGATTCACAGTTTATGATTGGTATGAGCAAAATAAAACAATTGTGAGGAGTTCACAGTAGAACTGACACGCAGTGCTGTAAGAAAGGAAAGACACAGAAAGTCACGTGCGATGACTGGAGGCGGCGCCGACTTGCACAGCGCGCGCGCTGCCGTGCGTGTCGTTGTGACGAATGACTGGCATGCAGTCCAGACCAGGCATGGAGCGCGGTGCTGCGCCGACGCGTCGAGGCTGGCAGGTTGGCAGGCATGCCATACGGCGGAATACGTTGGAACATTCACGATACATGAGGAGAACGTATTCTCGCTAGAATGATTGCCCGCACAGTCACTGTTTAAGCAGGAAGATCAACAGAGTACTCTTGTGCAATGCGCACGAATAAGATAAATTACTGCGACAATGAATTAACAGTTCAGTAGCGCATACATACATTCACGTGCAAAGTAATTTTTTAAAGACCGGGCAATTATCATTATGATGATTAGTTCGTTGTAGAACACATTGAACTACTGAAGTAGCAAATTAGTTATGGCAAACTGTGGTTATGTAAATTCACTTCCATTTTTAATATAAATATCATGTTTCCACTTCTCACATTTTGACGTCTAGTTTTCTGTTGTTCCGCTAATTTGCGTGGTTGAAAATGTTTCTTGCTTAAATACGAAACCAATATCTTTGGTGACTGAACAGTTTCCTCATAAGGAGAGATAAATTTGACGGCAAAACTACCAGAGAAGCACAAGTGTCCAGAGGAAAAGTAATGAAGACTTCAGAAATAACTGGCTGACTTTGCCTAAAGGGAGCATTGCCGCTGTCTCTGTAGGGTCTCAGAGGGGGAGGTCCTAGATTTCGAGACCAGACGTTGGCTAATTTTCTATACTAGCCTTTTAGCCAAGGCCTTAAGACTACTGCAGCTGCATGGAGGAGAATCCTAGATTTCGGCTGCTCTGATTGGTAATATTTTCTATGCTTTCTCCGATCAACATCTGGGAAATGCCAAAAAACGGGCCATGGACCGTGTCCTATCCTCTAACTCTACACACACACACACACTACCAATACTGGCGGGAGCTTAAAGCTTGTCTCGTTTGGGACGGTTCACCGTTGGGGGAGATACCTGAACAGGAAAATCCCCTCTGTAAACCCGTGAACATCGACGCCGGATCTCCATATCATTTGTGGGAGGAGCACCGCCATCTCCCAGGAACTATCACCATTCACAATTCTAACGTAACTCATGACCTCAGCAGTGCCCGGAAACATCAACCAACTTGAGCAGCGGTGGTCTACGCGGCGAAGTGTAGCTGGCCGCCGTGCGCAGGGAGCCGAGGCACAAGACGTACTCGCTGTTACTCTCTCTCGGCGGCGACGACAACGAAGGCGCGTAAAAGCGTTGCCGTGTTCGCGGCTGGCGTCGAAGCCCGGCGCCCGCGTGGGGCGTGCTGGGACGCGCCGGGGCGTGGCGGGGCGCGCGAGAGCGTGCTGGGGCTGGCGCGGGCGAGCGCCGGCCGAGTGGGCGTTGGGCGGTCGAGGTTGCGCCCGGCCCAGGCGGGCGCGGAGCTGCGCTCCGAACCCGCTACCCACACACGGTCAGTGAGTGGTTGCCTCTCGCTTTAAGAGTTGCACCTTTAGAAACTAAATGTCTGAAGCAATACGAGTCGGAAGCTGTAAGACGCGATTTAGTGGTTGTATTTTCACGATATCGAAGTTTGAGCAAACGGAAGTCCTTTGAGCCGAGATTGTAGAAAATATTCTGCATCGCCGGCTTGTTTATCCGAGGTCGTTAAGGCTGAAGGTCCGTAGCTGCCTCGGCTCGGAAGGTCGCAGATTCGAATCCCGCCCCGAACATGGATGTTTGTGTGTTCGTGTTGTCCTTATGTGTTTCTCCTATAGTTCCCCCTACAGTTAAATAAATCGCAGTGGTCGCTATACGGCCAAGATTGTAGAAAGCGATCTTAAAAACATTCTTCATCTAATTAAGGAAAAAGAAAAGCTTCGTATGGAAACAGAAAACGATAAAGAAATATGTCTAATTTTATGGACTACTACCCATCAGAGGCTTCCGTAATTTAATTCACACGTGAAGCAGAACTTTACGCCTGCAGTAGTGCTTGGAATTAGCTTCCTTGAGAATGATAACCGTGTGGTTACGAGATGAAACATTAAAAGTGCGCCATTTTCCACATCATATTATATTGTAATTTAAATAAAGCCACTAACTACAAAGAAATTGTAGGTTTTACTTGTTTATGCGTGGTAATTTGGAGATGGGTGCTAGAGCAGTGCACAGGTAAATGGAATGAATCAGGTCTTCCTCTTTTCGTAACAAATTAGTTTGGCAATTAGATTATTCAACCTAGCCAATACATAGAACGAAACACATATGGGGCCAGTCATTTCCATGCAGATATGTTCACTAATTTAATTCATATACCTAGTGTATTAGCAACATTAAAAATACAATTTATGCTATTCACCCTACAGAAGTATAAAGCAGACTGGCATCAAAGATGAACAGTTTAAGTTACTGACTTACAGAGGTAGATAGAAAATCATAAATTTGAGAAAGCGTTTTTAGTACGTCTAGTGCATTTTATTTCCTATAGTATATTTTCTTTCTCAATAGTTCTTCTAGTCAGAATCTTGAGTTACAATCCATTTTCCATTTTGCCGCCTTCATCTCAACCGACTCCCGCCTTCGAGATCCCTATGCATCACTAGTAAGGATCAAACCATCACATTTCATAATTAATACCGGGATTTGCCATCCAGTTTGTTAGAAAATTAAAACCGAATTTCCAATTGTTCACTTTGTTGAAATCGAAACTTGATTAGATTATACTCTTCATGTACTTCTACTAGTTCTAAAATTTTTTTCATCGTTACAATTGTAGTTCAAATGTAAGCAGAAGCATTTTTGGTTTAAAAATATAGAGTATTACAAACATTCTGTTTGAAAATAATGACCAGAGTGGTTTAATGATCTTATTCATTTAATGATCTTATTCATTTAATGATCTTAATCATTTAATGATAAATCAAAGTATTTCAATGCCGAAATCGTTAAGGTAGTAGCAATCTCCGACCGAACTATCGTGGGTTCGAGTCCCGCCTTGCGCATAGTTGTATTTGTGTTCGCCCTTTCACCCCCTATCATCACCATATCGTGTCATCTTCACATTTACCATACCGTCAAATGCTATAGTGGTCGCTAATAACCTAGATGTTGATGCGATCTTATGTAACAAAAACAGTATTTAAAAACATATCAATAAGAATTACTATTTGTATGTATTATGTCAATTTCATTTAAAAAATGACTAACATGTTCAAAATTGGTAATATAATTATAAAAACGTTTCTTCTAATGTATGCATTTCATTTGCAAAGTGTCTACGAGTATTTATTTACTTTTATTTGTAATGTAAAATTTTAGAACACTTTCTATTGTTTCCTAACTACCACTGATGAAATCAACAAAAAAATGAAGGTGATAACAATAAGTTTACTTTATCCATTTCAAAGGTTCAAAAACGCATTTTTACGTGTTGTACTTAATTTACGGTATTGTAGTATTTGTGGATTTATAACGATGTGTTCTAGGAGAATAGACGCTGTAGCGGAAAACACAACATTGAGTTCGTGAAGATATTTCAAGAAAAGTGGTGTGAAATGATGGAACACTGGCTAAAAACTGTGATGTGATGTGGCTGTAATTACCATTGGAAATAACCGTTACAATTTCGTTGTGCGTGAAATGGTTATATTACGTTATTTAAAGTCGATACGTACCTATATACTTCTATAAAGAACGTTCAATAGGACTGTCATGCCGCCAATCTCTCGTCATAGAGTCTCAATGTTTGCTTCATCTTTTGTTTACGTGTGAAACGCATGAAAACACAGCCCGCAGGCAGCCGTATTGTTCCATGGAGCTCCCAGATCACGGCCCCTACGAGCCCATGCGCATGCCGGCCTGCCGCGCGGCCAAGAACGCGCGAAGCTCCGTGGCGTCGAGCCCCGTGCGGCAGTCGCCCCAGCGGACCGTGCGCGTCTGCCGCAGCGAAGACGTCCACCGGCGACCGCGGCGCGCGCCGTCCTGCTCGGACGCGTCGCTGGAGGACGACGACGAGGACGACGACGACGACGACGACGAGGACGAGGTGCCCCGGGCGGCGGCGGCGCCCGCGGCGGGAGCGTTGGCGGGCAGGGGCCCCAGCGGGGCGCGTCTGTCGGCGCGGGGCCCGCCGCGGCCCTCCCCGCCCCGCTCCGCGCTCACCGTCGCGCGCGTCGGCTCCTACGAGTTCACCGGCAAAGTGCTGGGCCGAGGGAACTTCGCCCGCGTCGAGGAGGGCGTCCACGTGTACCTGCAGGTCAAGGTGCGTGCTTGGGCCGTTGCTGCGGGCTGTGTGCGCGTGCCAAGGAACTCGTCTAAAGGCGGCTCTCCACTCACGCGGCGTTCGGCGAATCCCGAGCAACCGCTCGCGGAATCCCGAGTAGTGTGGACGGGTTGCTCGCACCGAACAGTCGGTATTCGCTCTACCCATCACAAGTCGGTCTTTAGAACAGATCAAAGAGAGCGAATATTCACTGAACACATCAGCTGTTCGGGATTGGACGAGCTGCTCGGCGAATGCCGAATGTGTGGAGCCGGCTTAAGAGGATCTGTACTACAAGGCCCGTGCCTCTGCTCCTGTTTCTTCATTTCTTATAGTCGCATCGTCCCAAGGTTCTTAGCGGCTGTTCAGTATTTTACATTAAGGGTCGTTATTTGATTTTAAATTAGGTATCTACACAGAACAGTGTTTACCGCAACAAGGGAATTATTTTAATAATACAGAACTTTACACTTTTTTGTTTTTGTCTTTTTGTTTTATACATTGAGAAAGACACCCACGAGTAACTGAAGGTCATGCTTTGGCCATTACTGCAGGCCATTTTTGCGTGTCAAGGATCTCAGCTGAAAGTACCTGTACAACAAGGCCCGTGCCTCTGCTTCTTTTTTTTGTTTTGTTTTATACAACGAGGAAGGCTTTCACGAGTACTCACAGTGCGTCAAGGAAGGCGTGCACGAGGACCCTGTGGTTCAAGGCGCACGCACAAACCTCTTCCGGCTCCTCGTCGGCGTCTGCAAAGTCGCTGAGTATGAGCAGTACCTGCGGGTCGAGGCGCGTGCCCCTGGCGCCGCTTCCTTCCCTTGCCAGCGCGCGGTTATTAATGGGCCACGCGCTCGCAGTAACCGCGCCGGCTGAATGGCCACCGCCACCGGAGACGCAATGCGTAATTTGTAAACAACTTCGCGCCATATTGGGTGACACGAAAACTCGCGCGTGGCTCTGTTGAATTTCTCATCTTGTGGCGACCCGTTATTCACCGCTGGAAGTCGACAAGCGCGCAATGAACGCTTGTCCGTTTCATTTTTGCATTCTCGTCGTTGTAAAACGATGCTAAAACTGTTCTTGGATGGTTTTTAACGAGGATTTGTAAAACGTCGCTTCTCGATAATTCACGGGAACCCCGAGAAGATTATGTTCCTTTTGATGTTTCGCTTGTCCACTAAACTGTAGCACCACGACGACTGTACCGTATTTGAGAGGTGATGTAGTTGCATGAGCGAGGTTGCTCAGTACAAGGTGGACTGCTTACACCTTTTTTTCCGGTTCGGTGCACATCTGCAAGTATTTTTGAACCCGAACCCGTTCTATAAAACATAGCATCATAAAAGAGTTATAAAATGGCTTGTAAACATACTGAAAATTTGTCACTATTTTTTTCAAACGTACACCAACCGAATAAATTTAATCGCGAAAGGTAATCGTATTCTGCTGTGGTGGTTCAGACCGTTTTTGCCTTCACGACCTTTTCAATAAATGTATCTCAACGAAGAGTCTATTGCAGTTTACGAGCCATTCAGGATTGACTACGAAAAATTGGGTTCCGGGAAAGGCTTAAGTTTATCGAATGTCTTGGAAGTTGAACCAGTTTTAATTTCTTCTACGTTGCTAGCGATAATAGACATAGCTTTCTTAGTAATTAATGGCAATTCCGTTCTCCATACTGCTCTTTATTATGCTTATTAAAAGTATCATAATTATACTTACATAGCACTAGTCATTAATGTTCTTTATAGACCTTATATAGACCGGTCTGTATGGCTTTGAATTGTATTCCTTTTTGTAGTGCACAATTCATAGCAATAAATTTAGGAAGGGAAAGTATTCGAGTATGGTGGCAATGAGAACGTCAAAGACTGCATGACCTTGTTCCGATTTCATTTTTTTTCTTCAACCTCTGTAATGTTGCGAATATCACAAATATTGAGTTTTTTTCATATTTATTATGGTCTCTATTAATCTGGTAATGATTGTTGATCTCTACCACGTAGAAAACTATTCCAACGATCAAAATAGCTAATTGTGGTGTGATTTATTAATATATTTGTGCTTAAGAGGTAATGACAAGACACAGAAAAATAACTATTTAGAATGTGTACTTTTTGGTGTTAAATATAATTTCCATGATTTAGGCACTGTTAACATGCTTTAAATAAAATGAAACATGGCATATTTTATCCTATTGTGTATTTTTCAAAACGATGTAACCTAAATGAAGAATGTATGATAGTTTTGATACCTAACCTTTTAATCAAATTAAATTTAAAATTTCTGATAATCTGTGAAACATCTTAATAAATTTCAGATTTATTTACTACTCAAGGTTAAAAAATGTGAATTTTTAATACTCGTGAGTGAAGGTTTCGAGGGTTAAGGGAGACAATCGCTTGTCTGTGGCTTCATCAATTTTCTTCTTTCTTCTAATCCTTGCATACTATACGTATCGTATAGGAGAACTAGAGGAATAAGAACAGATAATTTTTGATATTACACATTACGAATCGGCAACGTAGAACATGCCCGAGCTGGGGCGGAGACGCGAATCGGGAACGTAGGGCATGGCCGAGCTGATTCGGGAAGGCGAATCGGGAACATAGAGTATTTCCGAGCTGGGACGGTGAGACGAACCGGGATCGTGGAGCATGTCCGAGCTGGGGCGAGAGGACGAACCGGAAACGAAGATGATATGCGATCTGGGGCGAGAAGACGAATCGGCAACGTAGAGCATGGGCGGGGGCGGTGTCCCACCGGAGGGAGATACCTGGAGGGGGAACCTCCCGCAAATCGACGCGTGATTCGGCGCTGGATATCACCAGTTTACCAAGAGGATAACAGTTCTCTAGATAAAACCTTTCACTTCACAAGCGGGGCCAATGAATGCAGCAGTTGATGTGACCTGAAACATTCAATCAATAAAAAAAATTGACATATGAGGCTATTGATCTTTACTTGATCATTCATATGGATTTCGGCACGAATTTTTCAACCAAATGCAACGATTTACTTTTCTTTTAAAGGAACTTGACGTGTCTAATTCTGGAACGCGTACGTCCGCGAGTGGCCGCTCCGGTTTGGTGGATCGTCCTGGCGGCCGCCGGGCGCGCAGTCGGGTATCGTCGACGGCCGAGCGATCGCTGCCTGCTTCCGCCTGCAGCTTCGTCCTTCCGCCCTACCCTAATTTCTTCCGTCCCTCGCGCCGTCCACCCCTTCCCCCCTCCTCGTCCTCGTCCTGCGGCCGACATCCTATCTCCTTCGATCGGCGCAGCAGCTTCCGCGCTTATTTCCGTCGGCAGCCAGGCGCGCCGACCCCCCCCCC